ACGGAAATCAAATCTTCATCGTCACCAGGAAACACACACGGACGATAAGCCATTCAATTGTTCTCCGTTGGAGAGGACACGGTCATCACCCCGAAACAAGCATAAGAAGATCCGCAATGATAGGAAAGTGAAATCAAAAGGAGAAATACAGATTGCTGCAATGAGTCCTGAAAAAAATGCATCTTTCGAACCTATGCAGGTGGATCCTGAGAGATGCATGGATGTAATGAGTCCTGACGACAATTCCTATTTCGACCCCATGCAGGTTGATAATGAGAAATGGCTGCTGGAGTGGCTGGATAATCAAAGTACTGAGAACTTCTGTTAAAGTCCTGGAATGTGCACGTTTGTTTCTCTGTTAGATCAATGTATTAGGTGCAATTGATAATATCAGTGATTTCCAGCACTACTGCAACCTAGTGTAATTATTTTAACAAAACCGTTTGATTGCTCTGTGTGTTGGAAGCATTTTCACAGTCAGTAACACTTCACAGGCATCATCAAACAAAGAGTAAAAATGTTGTCATGAGTCCTCAACGAAATTCCTCTTTCGACCCCATGCAGTTGCATCATGAGATATGGCTTGATGTAGTGGAGTATTCGTGTCTCATATATATTTTTCGGTGATTTCTAGGACTTCAAGCTAGAGTGATGTTGTGAATGCTCTATAATGTGTTCAGATGAATGTCTTCCTTTAAGTTCCAGAAGTGTTCACGGATTTCAGAATGACAACAACTTTATACTTAGGACGAATGGCTTCAGTCGAAAAGGACGTCAAAAGGGAAATCGACGTTTACGTGTTTAATTTTAAGAATATATTTTAACTGTTGAATTCCTATTGGGAAAAAATTTGCCTAGTTCCTTTCCTTTTCGATTTAAAGCTTTCGTGACTGCAGGGATTCATCTTCTTGGTTCTTTCGGTAAAGTCACGTAGAAGGGAAGTAATAAAATAATAAAAATAAAACATAATAAAACAATTCTCACGACGTTTCGGCCACAACGGCCGAAACGTCGTGAGAATTGTTTTATTATGTTTTATTTTTATTATTTTATTACTTCCCTTCTACGTGACTTTACCGAAAGAACCAAGAAGATAGTTCCTTTCCTGTTTGAGCATGCGTATTAATAAAGATTTCGATACGAGTATTAACGTGAACTTTCTTGCAGATTAATAAAGACCTGTTTTTAAAGATGACCGATCGTACGTTATTGCTACCATAGTTTTCCTTTAAAAAAACACGGACGAGTAGACATACACACACGAGTGTGCATCCAAACACGACTGTATATACAGCGGTGTGCATTCACACACGAGTGTGCATGTGTTTCTACGCTGTTTTCATTCATTTCGCACCACGAGCGGGGAGTCTCATCGCTGTAGTTCCCTGTTGTGGTGGCGCATTCCTACCACGTTGCCCCTCAATTATTTGTACGACACAATATAAAAATAATTTGTTTGTTCCAATACATAATCATACACGAGTACACATACACTCTCATGTACACACACCCACACACGAGTGGACATACACAGCAGTGTAAGTACAAAGGGATTGCGTTCGACTACGCGAACAAATGGCAGAATTTTTAATATAAAACACTCGTTTTCTAGAAACACCCCGCTCAACACGATTGTACTTAAATATATTTATAAAACAAAGTCAGTACAGTATAAACTTGCACATCTTATTCCAAATCAAGCTCGAGATCACCAATTTTGATACTTCAGACTGTATGTCACTTTATCATCCTCTAAACTTGCAGCAGTTTAGAGGACATTGTGGGGGTGAATATTAGCAAATAACCACGAATCATGGAATTATGCATAGAGATGCACATCCGTATTCAAACGGAAGTGTACAATTATTCAGTGATATGTACATACGTATTATGTTGCTAGATATGCGGATTGGTAATGTAAAATTAACAATTGAATGCAAATTCCATAATAGGCCAAGTCGAGAACAAAGAATTTGGATGCTAGAGCAGAATTATAAAGGGCTTAAAATCAGACCTCAAGGGCATTTCGAGAGGGATTTTGATGAGGATAGAGGCTCGACTCCCCGCTCTGCAGATAACCCTTCTTCCACGACACCCAGCCTGGCGAGCACGATTGCTTGGCGACTGCTTGGCGACTTCGCTTCGGGAGAGTTCGTGGCGATCTCTTCAGACGGGTTACAGGGACATCGATACGCCGTGCATCAACAAGTAAGTGTCTTTGTTAGTGGATAAACTGGTAATCGCGTGTGTATTCCGACTTCCGAGACGTTACTGTGACTCGGTTAGACGTTAGTGAGAGTTGTTTTTTGGCGATTTGAGCCAGACATCCACGAAGTTTCTCTGCTCTGAAAAATCAGTCACATGGAGCAGAAAAACTTTCCACAGCGGCACGCACACACGGGTAAGAAGCCATTCAATTGCGCTGTGTGCGGGAAGGCATTTGCAGATTCATCAACTCTCCGCAATCACCAAAAAACACACTCGGGTGAGAAGCCATTCAATTGCTCTGTTTGTGTGAAGGCATTTGCCCGTAAAGCAGATCTTCACACTCACCAAAAAACACACACGGGCGAGAAGCCGTTCAATTGCTCTCTGTGTGGGAAGCCATTTTCACGGAAATCAAATCTTCATCGTCACCAGGAAACACACACGGACGATAAGCCATTCAATTGTTCTCCGTTGGAGAGGACACGGTCATCACCCCGAAACAAGCATAAGAAGATCCGCAATGATAGGAAAGTGAAATCAAAAGGAGAATACAGATTGCTGCAATGAGTCCTGAAAAAAATGCATCTTTCGAACCTATGCAGGTGGATCCTGAGAGATGCATGGATGTAATGAGTCCTGACGACAATTCCTATTTCGACCCCATGCAGTTGGATCCTGCGAGATGGCTGGATGTACTGAGCCCTGACGACAATTCCTATTTCGACCCCATGCGGGTTGATAATGAGAAATGGCTGCTGGAGTGGCTGGATAATCAAAGTACTGAGAACTTCTGTTAAAGTCCTGGAATGTGCACGTTTGTTTCTCTGTTAGATCAATGTATTAGGTGCAATTGATTATATCAGTGATTTCCAGCACTACTCCAACCTAGTGTAATTATTTTAACAAAACCGTTTGATTGCTCTGTGTGTTGGAAGCATTTTCACAGTCAGTAACACTTCACATGCATCATCAAACAAAGAGTAAAAATGTTGTCATGAGTCCTCAACGAAATTCCTCTTTCGACCCCATGCAGTTGCATCCTGAGATATGGCTTGATGTAGTGGAGTATTCGTGTCTCATATATATATTTCGGTGATTTCTAGGACTTCAAGCTAGAGTGATGTTGTGAATGCTCTATAATGTGTTCAGATGAATGTCTTCGTTTAAAGTTCCAGAAGTGTTCACTGATTTCAGAATGACAACAATTTTATACTTTGGACGAATGGCTTCAGTCGAAAAGGACGTCAAAGGGGAAATCGACGTTTACGTGTTTGATTTTAAGAATATATTTTAACTGTTGAATTCCTATTGGGAAATAATTTGCCTAGTTCCTTTCCTGTTTGAGCCTGCGTATTAATAAAGATTTCGATACGAGTATTAACGTGAGCTTTCTTGCAGAATAATAAAGACCTGTTTTTAAAGATGACTGATCGTACGTTATTGCTACCATAGTTTTCCTTTAAAAAAACACGGACGAGTAGACATACACACACGAGTGTGCATCCAAACACGACTGTATATACAGCGGTGTGCATTCACACACGAGTGTGCATGTGTTTCTACGCTGTTTTCATTCATTTCGCACCACGAGCGGGGAGTCTAATCGCTGTAGTTCCCTGTTGTGGTGGCGCATTCCTACCACGTTTCCTCTAAATTCTTTGTACGACACAATATAAAATAATTTGTTTGTTCCAATACATAATCATACACGAGTACACATATACACCCCCATGTACGCACACCTTCACACGAGTCGGCATACACAGCGCTGTAGAAACATACACGAATGTACATATACACTGCTTCATACATACACACACGGGTGCACATGCATACTAGTGCGCATACACACACGAGTGTACTTCTGCATTTTCATATATATGCTCATTTCATTCGATATGCAAATTACTTTGTCAAGGCGCTCTTCCTCCCCTAAAGCAGCTTAAATATACGCTGCCAAGCTTGGTGGTGTTCATTTTGACGCTGTCTTTCCAACAGACCTGTTCTTCACCTGAGGACGGCTGCTTGCGTTGTGGCCGAAACGTCGTGAGAATTGTATTTTATTATGGTTTATTTTTATTATTTTATTATTCCCCTTCTACGTGACTTTACCGAAAGAACCAAGAAGATGAATCCCTGCAGTCACGAAAGCTTTAAATCGAAATTTAAGGCTGATTATATGCCTTTCAGAATATCCTGTGTTTGAATCACACTGGGCTCGAATGCATAAAATTTGTATGTATCTATAATGGAACCAGATCTGCGAGCTGCGGGATTTAAATTGCATTATGTTCACTAGTCTCACATTGTGGTCGTATTAGAATCACACTATCCACTGCTGGATCTGCCCTCTCAATTGATTAATATATGCATATATACAGAGTATGATTATTTGACATTTACGTATTGATTTTTTAACTGTTGAATTCCTGAAAGCTTCCAGCTGTAAGTAGCAGCTCGGGAGGACCGTGGGGTTAGAGCGGGGATATAAATGCGGCGCTTTTGGTTCGTGCCTACTTGTCCAGGCTCACTTTATCGCCGCCACTATTATAATTTTGATCAGCCAAAACTTAAGGCATTTCAAGAGGGGTTGGTTTGTTTTGAATATTTTAGATCACCCACCCAGCATATCTCTGGGACCATCCAATGCGCAGGCGATACACCACAGGATGACCCTTTCATCCCGACATTCACACCTGAGCCTACGCGTTCCCTAACACTCGCACACCCTGAAGGCACTTGTAGCCTTACGTGACATTGTCTGCCACCCACTGTTGGGCCACATTCCCTAGAAAGCCGACTTCAAGGTGAAGCTCGACACCGAGCGTCGTGGGCCACCGCCGGCCTGACACCGTCGTCGTCAGGGGAGAGGAAGCGAGACGGCGCCTCCTGGCTCCTTTCCACCATAGGGAGGTGTCAAAGGCAGCCTCCTTGAGGCCCAGGACCGGATCAGGTAATCGTCGCTGATGTTGAGCAAGAATTTAACGTGAGCGAGAATTGAGCTGCGTGCTAACCACTACACTACCACTGCACTACCACTGCACTACCACTGCACTACCACTGCACTACCACTACACTACCACTGCACTACCACTACACTACCACTACACTACCACTACACTACTACTGCACTACCACTACTATACCACTACACTACCACTACACTACCATTACACTAACACTAAACTACCACTACTATACCACTACACTACCACTACACTACCACTACACTACCACTACACTACCACTACACTGAGCATGTTCATACACACAGCAGTGTAACAGGATAACAACGTTTTGTGATTATTTTCACAGGTTAAATATTAGCAAATTATTTTAATAAACAGAATAGACAGGAAGGACAAGTTCAAAGGGCTCGCATAATGCACACGCGTAATGTACATTTCCTCAGTAATCCCCCCCATCCCCCACATTGTGCAAGAGCGCAGCTGCGTGGTCAACACATCTATGCTTCTATATAAGGAACGAAACAGTGAGACTTCCCAAATCTGGCTGTCGACTGATGAGGCTAGTTTTAATTACAGACGAAACGTCGTGCTCAGATTGTAAATGTTGTGGCTTGGCTCTCCAACACACCAGTGTGCTGTACTAGTGACAAATCTGCATGTTCTGTTTACGTGACAATCCGTAGTAGTTGGCTGTGTCGGGTGGTGTCGGGTTTTAACGACACATTTATATATTTAAGCGATCTAACCCAAAAAACCTTTAATATGGGCACTATGATAAACCATGCTTACAAGCTAAACCATTCAGATGATCATTCAAAGTTCACGGCAGGAATTATAATATAAAACACTCGTTTTCTAGAAGCACCCCGCTCAACACGATTGTCCTTAAATATATTTATAAAACAAAGTCAGTACAGTATAAACTTGCACATCTTATTCCAAATCAAGCTCGAGATCACCAATTTGGATACTTCAGACTGTATGTCACTTTATCATCCTCTAAACTTGCAGCAGTTTAGAGGACATTGGGGGGTGAATATTAGAAAATTAACACGAAGCACGGAATTATGCATGGAGATGCACATCCTTATTCAAACGGAGGTGTACAATTATGCAGTGATATGTATTATGTTGCTAGATATGCAGATTGTTAATGTAAAAATTAACAATTGAATGCAAAGTCCATGATAGGCCAAGTTGAGAATAAAGGATTTGAATGCGAGAGCGAAGTTATAAGGGGCTTAAAATCAGACCTCAAGGTTATTTCGAGAGGGATTTTGCTGAGGATAGACGCTCGACTCCTCGCTCTGCAGATAAACCTTCTTCCACGAGACCCAGCCTGGTGAGCACGATTGCTTGGCGACTGGTTGGCGACTTCGCTTCGGGAGAATTCGTGGTGATCTCTTCAGACGGGTTCCAGGGTCATCGATACGCCGTGCATCAACACTTACGAGACGTTACTGTGTCTCAGTTAGACGTTGGTAAGAATTTGCATATTGGCGATTTGAGCCAGACATCCACACAGCTTAGAGTTTGCCTTTAATAATCAACAACACCCGCGACTGTTACTCTGCTCTGAAGAATCAGTCACATGGAGCAGAACAACTCTCCGCAGCGCCACGCACACACGGGTGAGCAGCCTTTCAATTGCTCCGTGTGTGGGAAGGCGTTTTCGCGGAAATCAACTCTTAACAGACACCAGAAAACACATACGGGCGAGAAGCCATTCCATTGTTCTGTGTGTGGGAAGGCATTTGCATGGAAAACAATTCTTCAAAGTCACCAAAAAACACACACGGGCGAGAAGCCATTCAATTGCTCTGTGTGTGGGAAGGCATTTGCAGATTCATCAACTCTTCGCAATCACCAGAAAACACACTCAGGTGAGAAGCCATTCAATTGCTCTGTGTGTGGGAAGTCATTTGCAGATTCATCAACTCTTCGCAATCACCAAAAAACACACGGGTGAGAAGCCATTCAATTGCTCTGTGTGAAGGCATTTGCCCGTAAAGCAGATCTTCACACTCACCAAAAAACACACACGGGCGAGAAGGCGTTCAATTGCTCTCTGTGTGGGAAGCCATTTTCACGGAAATCAAATCTTCGTCACCAGAAAACACACACGGGCGAGAAGCCATTCAATTGTTCTCCGTTGGAGAGGACACGGTCATCACCCCGACACAAGCATGAGAAGATCCGCAATGAAAGTGAAATCAAAAGGAGAAATACAGAGTGCTGCAATGAGTCCTAAAAAAATGCATCTTTCGAACCTATGCAGGTGGATCCTGAGAGATGCGTGGATGTAGTGGATGTACTGAGCCCTGACGACAATTCCTATTTCGACCCCATGCAGGTTGATAATGAGAAATGGCTGCTGGAGTGGCTGGATAATCAAAGTATTGAGTACTTCTGGTAAATTCCTGGAATGTGCACGTTTGTGTCTCTGTTAGATCAATTTATTAGGTGCAATTGATTATATCAGTGATTTCCAGCACTACAAACTGGTGTAATTCTTTTAACAAAACCGTTTGATTGCTCTATGTGTTGGAAGCATTTTCACGGTCAGCAACACTTCACAGGCATCATCAAACAAAGAGTAAAAATGTTGTCATGAGTCCTCAACGAAATTCCTCTTTCGACCCCATGCAGTTGCATCCTGATAGATGGCTTGATATAGTGGAGTGGCTGGAGAGTCATATTCGTGTCGCTTATATATATATTTTTCGGTGATTTCTAGGACTTCAAGCTAGAGTGATGTTGTGAATACTCTATAATGTGTTCAGATGAATGTCTTCCTTTAAAGTTCCAGAAGTGTTCACTTATTTCAGAATGACAACAATTTTATACTTTGGACGAATGGCTTCAGTCGAAAAGGACGTCAAAGGGGAAATCGACGTTTACGTGTTTGATTTCAAGAATATCTTTTAACTGTTAAATTCCTATTGGGAAATAATTTGCCTAGTTCCTTTCCTGTTTGAGCCTGCGTATTAATAAAGATTTCGATACGAGTATTAACGTGAGTTTTCTTGCAGATTAATAAAGACCTGATTTGTTTTTAAAAATGACTAATCGTACGTTATTGCTACCATAGTTTTCCTTTAAAAAAAACACGGACGAGTAGACATACACACACGAGTGTGCATCCAAACACGACTGTATATACAGCGTTGTACATTCACACACGAGTGTGCATGTGTTTCTACGAGTTTTAACGTTAATATACTTGCAGAACAATAAAGACCTGCTATGTTAAAGATGACTGATCGTCCCTTATTGTTACAATGTTCATAGCGAACACGTGTGGAGGCGAGTTTCAGGTGAAGCATCTCCATCACACAAGTTTACCCTTACCTGGCAGCATCGTGGCAGTTCGCTGGTCACACTCACTACGTTACACTCACGAGCTGTAGGGGCGGGGCTCTGTCTGCTCAGTGGCGCTGTTTTCATTCATTTAGCACCACGAGCGGGGAGTCTCATCCCTGTAGTTCCCTGTTGAGGTGGCGCATTCCTACCACGTTTCCCCTAAATTATTTGTACGACACAATATAAAAACAATTTGTTTGTTCCAATGCATAATCATACACGAGTACACATATACACTCCCATGTACACACACCCACACACGAGTGGACATACACAAAAGTACAGATCCATGTACATACAAACAGTAGTATACTTGTGTAATGCGGGCATAAACGGCCTCGCGGATATGACGTCACGGGGGGAGGAGTTAGGTCACGTGAGAGAGAGGGATGAGGTCTTAAGGGAGAGATACCGGAAGAAACGGGAGAGTGTTGGGAATAGAGACAGAGTGAGGCCACACAGTGCGGAGGTTGGAGAGTGGCGAGATCGCCACACACAGTAAGACTCGGCACCGTCGGCCAGCGGTGACGAGCACGGGGGAACAGGGAGCAGCGGTGGAGCTGCAGTGAGAGCAGCCGGAGGACTGCACAGCGGAGCTGCAGGAGCGCGAAAGGCTACGTGAGCGAAGGCAGCTGTCGAGCTGCTAAGCGGGGAGGCTCTGAGCGAGGGCCGTGTGGGACAAGTGTAAAGAACCCAAATAAAGGACAACGGAGACAGACCCAGTGAACGAGTCCTTTATTACACTTGCAAGCAATTCAACGTTATGTTGTGTCATCATGGGTTTATTTCACAAAGTTTAAAGTGCCAGCAACAACAATGGTATTGAACCTTATTCTTTACAGGAGTGGCTCTGGGTGGACATGCCACCACAAAGCAGCACGCGGCGGAGGAGGGAGGTGATCGCTCTCGCCACGCGAGCAAGGCCCCCTCGCTTCCTCTTCTTTCCCTGCATCACCACCTCCACCACCTGCACCTCCTCCACCTCCTGCTTTGTCTCGTCCTCCATCTCCTCCTCTTCATCCTCCACCACCATCTTCTCTCCATTCTCTGTCTTCTCCATTCCCTCCTCCTGTTCCTCCTCAACCTCTTCCTCCACCTTCTCCTCTTCCTGTTCCACCTCTGTCTTCTTATCCATCTTCTCTGTTTGGAAGCCCTCTTCTCCAAAGCTTGGAGCAATCGGGCCCTGTACAGGAGTGTCAGAGGTGGATGCGGTGGCGGTGGTGGTTGCAGTGGTGGTGGCGGTGGTGGTGGTGGCGGCGGTGGTAGTGGTGGCGGCGGCGATGTCGGTGGCGGCGGTGGTGGCGGTGGTGGTGGCGGTGGTGGTGGCGGCGGTGGTGGCGGCGGTGGTGGTTACTGCGGTGGTGGTGGTGGCGGCGGTGGTGGTGATGGCAGTGGTGGAGGTGGCAGTGGTGGCGGAGGGTTTTGTGGCAGTGGTGGCAACAGCGTCAGTGGCAGTGGTGGCGGTGGATGCGGTGGCGACAGTTGTGGCATTGGCGGTGGTGGCTGTGGTGGCGGTG